TATTTTATTTTATTTTATTTATTTTATTTTATTTTATTACAAAGTTTCACTCTTGTCGCCCAGGCTGGTGTGCAATGGCATGATCTTGGCTCACTGCAACCTCTGCCTCCCAGGTTCAAGCAATTCTCCTGCCTCAGCCTCCCGAGTAACTGGGATTACAGGCGCCCACCACCATGCCCAACTATTTTGTATTTTTAGTAGAGACAGGGTGTCACCGTGTTGGCCAGGCTTGTCTCAAACCCCTGACCTCAGGTGATCCAGCTGTCTCGGCCTCCGAAAGTGCTGGGATTACAGGTGTGAGCCACCAGGCCTGGCCGAAAAAACATTATTTTTAAGGGGAATATTGACTTTGAAGGCAGAGAAACCGAGGTTCAAGTCTAAAAGTTTTCTTGCCTTAGATCACTTAAACTCACTATGACTCACTTTCCTGATCAGAAATAAGGATGATGACAAAAAGCGAGTATTAATTTTGTGATGTAGACAATGTTTAACTACGGGGAGAAGCCCTGTTGCTTTAGTTTTTTGAAAAGTGTGGCTTTTGAGTTTAAACATAGATTTAAACTGCACTTCTGATACTAATTGTATGGCATTGCAGAAAGCACTTATTCTCTCTAAACCTGAGTTTATTCATCTATATTTTGAGGATGATGTTGACACCTATCTCAAGTGGATGCTATAATAATCAAACAAGAAAATGTTATGAATGTGTTTTATAAGCCATGAACTCCAAGACAAAGAAAAGTTGTTTTTTGTTTTTTCTTAAAAAAAAAAAAAAACCTTTGATTGGAGTGGCCAACCAATCTGACTTTCCAGGAATAAGGGATTTTCCAAGACCCAGAGTTTTCAATGCTAAATATAGAAAATCTCAGGCAAACCAGGATGAGTTGGGCACTCTAGTCTTGACTAACCTTTAATTAGGCCAATGTCCTCACTAGACCTTAACTGAGATGGCTAGGCCTTAACCAGATTTAGTCCCTGGCTCTGCCTTAACTAGACTCTTACTAGGACTTAACTAAGCTTACCCCTTTCTAGACCTAACTGGGTTAAATAGGCCTTAAATAGGCCTAGGTCCTTGCTACACATTAAATTAGAAATGAATAGGCCTTCTCTAGACTTAAGTCCTGGCAATGCCTTATCTAGACTGATTAGATATTAACTAGGCATAGTCCCTGGCTAAGCTAACTGGGCTGTGGCTAGGACTCAACTAGGCATAAGCCTGGTTCCACCTTCACTGAGTTGACTAGGCTTTAACTAGGCTTAAGCCTTGCTTTTGCCTTAACTAGACTCTGACTAGGCTTTAACAAGACTTAAGGCCTGCATTTGCCTTAACTAGACTCTGACCAAGCTTTAACTAGACTTTGACCCTGGATAGGCCTTAACTGGGCTGGCGATCTTAACTAGGATGACTAGGCCCTAAGTAGGCTCAAACTCTGGCTGGAACTTAACTAAAGTCTGACCACAGCTTTTCTAGGCTCAGACCTTGACTAGGCCTTAACTGGGTCCAGGTTATACCTTAACTAAACTCTATGTCTCCTTTAGAATTATGCCCTAGATAGGCCTTAACCATGCTTTGACTAGGACTTCAGTAGGCTAATCCTCTGGATAGGCTATAGCTGGGCTAATTAAACCTTAACTAATATTGGCCCTCACTAGGCTTTAACTGGGCTGGTGAGACCTTAATTGTGTTAAATAGCTCTTAACTAGTCTCAGGCCTTTGCTATACTTTAACTAGACTCTGACTAGGCCTTATCTAAACTTAGGTTATGACTAGACCTTACCCAGGCTTAGTCCTTGGCTAGGCTTCAGCTGGCTTCTGACTAAACCTTAACTGGACTTTGGCCCTGGTTAGGCCGTAACTAGGCTGGCTAGGTTTAAACTGGGCTCAGGCCATTGTTACACTTTAAACTATATTTTTATGAGGCCTTAACCAAGATGGCTAGCCTTTAATTAGGCTTGGGCCTTGGATATACCTTTAAAAGACTCTGTTTACACCTTAATAAGCTAGGGCCCGGCACTAGCTTAACTAGTTTCTGATTAAATACTTAAGTAGATTTAGGCCTTAACTGGGCTCTGACTAGGCCCCTAACTATCTCTGACTAAATATAAACTAGGCTTAGGACATGAATAGTCCTTAAAAATACTCTGATAATACCTTAACCAAGTCAGTTAGCTTTTAATTAGGCTTATGCTGTGGCTATACCTTAATAAAACCCTAGCCAGGCCTTAAATAAACTTAAGTCCTGACTATACCTTAACTAGTTTCTGCCTAATACTTAACTAGACTTAGGCGTTACCTAGGCTCTGACTTCACCTTAATTAGGCTTAAGCCCTGACTAGGCCTTAACTGGGCTCTAACAAAGTCTAAACTAGTGTTAGGTAATGGCTAGGCTATAACTGGGCTTTGACTCACACTTAACTAGGCTGAAGCCCTGCTTATACCTTGATTAGGCTTCACTACATCTTAACTAGGCTTAGGTCCTGGCCAAGTGTTAACTAAGTTCTGATTAGGACTAAACTATATTTATAACCTTGCTAGGACTTAAGTAGACTAGAACTACAACATAATTAGGCATAGGCCCTGGCTAGGACTTAACCTGGCTCTGACTAGACCTAAATTAGGCTTAGACCCTGGCTAGGGCTGAACTGGCTTCTGACTAGACCTAACCTAAGTTTAGGCATTGATTATGCTTTAACAATACACTGATGAGGTCTTAAGCAAGCTAGCTAGCTTTTAACTAGGCTTAGTCCTTGGCTATACTTTATCAAAATTCCGACAGGCTCTTAACTATGTTTAGGCCCTGACTAGGCTTTAACTGGCTTAACTAGACCTGAATTAGGCTTGGGCTCTAGCTAAGTCTTAACTGGGCTAACTAGGCCTTAACTAGGTTAAGGCTTTGACTCAGTCTTAACTAAGTTCTGACTAGGACTAAACTACACTTATGATCTTGCTAGGGCTTAACTAGACTAGGACTGGAAATTAACTAGGTTTAGACTCTGGCTAGGGCTAAACTGGACTGACTAGGCATTAACTAGGCATTGGCCCCCTATAGGTCCTAGTTGGGCTGACTAGAACTTAACTAGCCTCTGACTAGACCTAAATTAGGCTTAGGCCTTGCCTAGGGCTGAATTGGGTTCTAATTGGACCAAAACTAGACTTGGGCACCAATTATGCTTCAACAATATCCTAATGAGGTATTAACTAAGCTAACTAGATTTAACCGTGCAATCTAGACCAGAAGTAGGCTTAGGCTCTGACTAGGTCTTTTTTTTTTTTTTTTTTTTTTTTTTTAAACAGAGTCTTGCTCCATTTCCCAGGCTGGAGTGCAATGGCACGATCTCGGCTCACTGCAACCTCCGCCTCCCAGGTTCAAGCAATTCTCCTGCCTTAGCCTCCTGAGTAGTTGGGATTACAGGCGCCCACCACAATGCCCAGCTAATTTTTGTATTTTTAGTATAGATGGGGTTTCACCATACTAGTCAGGCTGGTTTTGAACTCCTGACCTCAGGTGATTCTCCTGCCTTGGCCTCCCAAAGTGCTGGGATTACAGGCATGAGCCACCGTGCCCAGCCGGCTCTGACTAGGTCTTAATTGGGCTGACTAGGACTTAACTAGACTTAGGCTCTGTCTCCACCTAACTGATTTCTGAGTAGGCCTTAAGTGGGCTTAGCCCCTGGTGAGATTGTAACCAGGCTGCCTAGGCATTAACTGGGCTGAGCAAGCCTTAACTAGGCTTTGGTCTTGGCCAAGTCCATGGCTAGAGCTTAACTATGCTTAAGCCTCAGGTAAGCCTTATCTAAGCTAAAGTGCTGGCTAGGCCTTAACCAGACCTTGGCCCTGGTCTTGTCTTGATTAAGCTGTAGTCAGGCCTTGGCTAAACTCCAGCTACTCTTTTGTAAGGATCACCTCAATAATATATTACCTCTAGCCCTCAGCTCCTCCAGTTTGTATCTGCCATTACCTCAGTTATCCTGCAGTTTCAGGCCCTGCTCTGGGTCATAAAGAAGTCAGAGGCAGGGCCCCTACCTTACCACACTGCAACAGGAAACAGACTGCTTGTAGGCTCTTTGCAGCCAGATGCACTTATAGTATAAAACAGGAAGCAACCCCTGAATTGACACTCCCAAGAAATCAGGGGGATACTCTTTTATGTAACACTCCACTCAGAATTATATTTTTTCAGCCAATGAGAATGGTCTGTAAAACTTCTTCCAGGACACCGACATTTTGTAATAAGGTTGTAACAAACTTAAAACATAACATACCATTCCTAAGTACAGTACAGCAAGTGACTCTATGGCTTTTGCCCATAATGTGCAATTGGCACTTTAGAAGAGAGATCTTCCTACCTACCTTACCACACTGCAACAGGAAACAGACTGCTTGTAGACTCTTTGCAACCAAATGTATTTATAGGACAAAACAAGAAGCAACCCCTGTACTGACACCCCCAAGAAACCAGGGGACACTCTTGTATGTAACACTCCACCTGGAAGTATATTTCTATCTCAGTCAATCAAAATGGTCTGTACAACTGTTTCCAGGACACTGACATTTTGTGACAAGTTAGTAACAAACTTATGTAACAAGTTTGTAACAAACTTAGAACACAGCATTCCTAAGTACAGTACAGGAGGTGATTCTATGGCTTTTGCCTATAATGTGCAATTGGCAGTTTAGAATAGAGATCTTCTTACCTACCTTACCGCACTGCAACAGGAAACAGACTGCTTGTAGGCTCTTTGCAGCCAGATGTATTTATAGGATAAAACAGAAGCCACCCCTGAATTGACACCCCCAAGAAACTAGGGAACACTCTTGTATGTAACACCCTACCCAGAAGTATATTTCTATCTCAGCCAATCAAAATGGTCTGTACAACTGCTTCCAGGACACCAACGTTTTGTAACAAGTCTGTAACAAACTTAGAACATAGCATTCCTCAGTATGGGAGGAGACTCTATGACTTTTGCCCTTAATGTGCAATTGGGAGTTTACTTACCTTACCGCACTGCAACAGGAAACAGACTTCTTATAGGCCCTTTGCAACCAGATGTATTTATAGTATGAAACAGCAAGCAAACCCTGAATTGACACCCCCAAGAAACCAGGGGATACTCTTCTATGTAACACTCCACCTGGGAGTATATTTTTATTTCTGCCAATCAAAATGGTCTGTGCAACTTCTAGGACACCGACATTTGGTAACAAGTTTGTAACAAACTTAAAACATAGCAGGCCGGGCACAGTGGCTCACGCCTGTAATCCCAACACTTCGGGAAGCCAGGCGGGTGGAGCATGAGATCAAGGGATTGAGACCATCCTGGCCAACATGGTGAAACCCTGTCTCTACTAAAAATACAAAAAGTTAGCTGGGCGTGGTGTTGCGTGCCTCTAGTCCCAGCTACTCAGGAAGCTGAAGCAGGAGAATCACTTGAACCCAGGAGGCAGAGGTTACAGTGAGCAGAGATTGCACCACTACATTCCAGCCTAGTGACAGAGTGAGATTCCATCTTAAAAAAAAAAAAAAAAAAAGAAAGAAAGAAAACCACAAAACAGCATAGCATTCCTAAGTACAGTACAGGAGGCAAATCTACAGGTTTTGCCCATAATGTACAATTAGCATTTTAGAAGAGAGATCACCAATGCACTAGAATTGCAGTAAAGGGAGTGTAAGCTTCACCAAGCTAAACTTTGAGCATTTGTAGAACCTATGAACTCTCCACAGTTAGTTATCAGTTCCATTGTGAGGAAGTAGCCAGTCTGACATATACTGGCTTAGCCTGCTATAGGATACTGAAATACTTGTTTAATGACCCAGCAACAGGATGATAAATCCAGACCAGAGAATAGGCAATCATTCCTGTCTATTAACTTCATGGATTCCTAGTGATGAAAGACTGGTAATTGGTTCCAACCTTGGCTATATTATTTAGTTTGGGAGCATTTATTTGTATATACACACACCTTCTAGTAAAATCCATTTGATTCATTGCACATTGGGAGTTCACTTTGGCCCAACTAATCATTTTTGTCATCTGTACCAAGTTCTAAGTTAAACTTATATTGGCCTGTACAGTCCTATTAACCTTTTCAAGTACACAGTGACTTAGGTATCAGTCCTGCATGAACTAACTGAAGTTTGTAGGTTCTATTCAGAGCAAAGCAGGTAAGCAGCTCTGTTCACAGGATAGTGCCCAGACAGGTCGTGTGGCTGGGGGATGTAACCAGTCTTTACATTAAGCTATGTATAGCAGTATGTCAAAAGAACTGATCTGGGCACCAGAACTGGAAAGTTAATACATTCACTCATTCATCCCACAAATATTTATTAATCATCTTCTGTGTGCCAGATATTATCCTGAGACTGGGAATGTGATGGCAAACACATATAGCCACAACCCTTGACCTAATGGAGTTTTCATTCAACAAACAAAATCAGGAGAGGATCTGCACAGCCATGAGTTGAAGCCTAGATTAAAACAATCTGTTTGCTACAAGGCAAGGTCAGATGTGATAGGCAAAGCCTACAATGACAGAACAGCTGTAGGAAAATAGCCATGTGGTTAAAAAAAAAACAGCAGCAACAAATGAATATAATCTTCATTTTAAAAATATGAAAACAGAGATGTTTCCTAACATCACCACCACCACTACCATGTCATTCTGAGAAAGCCATTTATATTTTTTGGTCTTCGATTCTTCCTTCTATAAAATGGAATCACTTACCCATTTGAAAAAAAAAATGAAGAGAAACTGGACTAGATAAGTAAATCCTAAATTACACCAGCAAAATGGATAAGAGCCACAGGCTTTAGAGTTGAACAGATGGGGGCTTGAATCTCAGCTCTTGTCACCTTGTAGCTATATGTCCCTGGTGAGATTTAACCTGACTGAGCCTCATATTTCTTTCTCTGTAAAAAGAGGATAGATACTAATCATGCCTATCTCAGGCTGTCATGGGGACATCTGAGAAAACATGGAAAATGCTTACTGCAATAAATTGCCATGCTCTGTTAAGAAACAGGAAGAATGAGCTATGCCTTGCACAACCTTGATTATTTTTATTTGGATGCATAACTCTTTAGTGTCTTAAGAGTATTTAGCAGGTACTTGATAAAGATGTGCTGACTGGTTTACTGGACTTCACCATAGGGCAATAAGAAGATTCACAGGGCAATAGCAAGGACCAAAGCCTAGAAAAGGTGAGAGAACACGGCAAGAGATCAGGGATTTTCCTTATCCTCACTCCTAGTCCAGCTTAAGCCACATCCATTCATTCCCTGTGACCATAACAAATAAACATCTTTCTGGGACCACAGGCCCCATTGGAATGATACATAAAGTCTCAGGAAGACATTTCAAGTTCAACCTGAAGAATGAGAGTCAAGGTCTCCTAAATTCTCTGCTCTGAATGAGCACTGAAACCTTCTCCACCTTTCTTTTACAACTCTCCCTCTTTTTCTCTCTCTTTCTATTCTCTGACCAATCTCTGAGGAGGCTACCAGCAGAGTTACAATCTAATACTTGAAAGATGCTTTGAAAAGAATAAGTGTTATTAACTGTTAGTTGCACTGTATGAACAAATTCATAAATACTTCCCTTACTGTTGCAGAAACATTACACACCACTGCTGTGACTAGACCTCTTTCTAGCTTAACTTTGATATTCCTGATCATAAGGGAAGTTATGTTGGCATTATTTCAGTACTTGGTGTTTAAGTGCAAGTGCGGAGCCATTCACTCACTCCAGGGAGAAGCAAAGAAAGGAATGACTTTAAGGGTCTCAAAACTGAAAACAAATAACCAAGAAGGCTATACATGTCTTTCTGTAGGCTGTGAACTGGGTAATAGTGTTTCTCACTCAAGAAAGACTTTGGATTGCCCCTGCTGAAGGACAAAGGGATAAACAGACTAAGCCCAGATCACCTAAAGCAGTGGTTCTCAGGGCTGATTTCCCTCCCCACCACCCCTCCACCCACCTGTCTGCCCACCAGGAGCATTTGACAATGTCTGGAGAGGCTTTTGGTTGTCACAATTGAGGGGAGGTGCCATTATCAATTAGTGGATAGAGGCTGGGGAAATACAAAGCACCCTACAGTACACAGAACAGTCTCCAAGAATGAAGAATTATACAGCCCCCAAAGCCAATAGTGTTCAAGTTAGGAAAATCTGACCTGGAGAATCTTTCCATCCTAACAACCAGCAAATATTTCTGAAGGTCTTTCTTGTGGCCACTGTGATTTACTATATAAGCCATAGTCTCTGCCCTAAGGAAACTTAGAATCTAACAGGGAGATCAGCCAAGCACACTGAAGCAATCAGGAAATAATGAAGTATATCAATCAGTTTTTTTTTTTTTTCTACAGAGTGTGGTCTAGCCTCTGGGTATTATAGGAGCATTTTAAAATTTTATTTTATTTTTAAATGACATAATAATTGTATTTATTTATGGAATAGAATGTGATATTTTGATATATGTTTACATTATAGAAGGGAGAGAACAGCAGGCATATGAAGTTCAGGAAAACTTCCAAGAAGAGTTGGATCTTGAGCTGATGTTTGAAGGAGGCTATTACTCTTTCCCTTCTCCTCACTGCTGGCAGAAACGTGAATCTAAGCTTGCTGCCCATACTTCTTTGCTTCCCACTCTCTGTCAGTATCTTGTAATCTGATTTCAGGACTCCATAGAAAATTTATTTTTCTTAATCACCAGAACCTATCACCTATCCTCAATATTAATCTACATCAACCCTCATCTTTTAAAATTTTCCTTCTTTATTGCCTTCTGTGACATCATCATTGTGTTCTGGTCCACTTTTGACTTCTCATGGCTCAGCCTCAGGTTTCTTTTTACAGCCAACCTACATAGGTAGGTGTGCAGCCACCTCCAGCCTGCTGCCTTTTTCTTTCTCACAATTTTCTCTTAATTATTTTATTCATTCATTTATGCCCCTTCTCATTCCACAAAGGATTTGCAGTAGTTACAATCTCATGCTATGCATTTTCCCTTAATTATTATACCAACTCCTGTGGTTTCACCCATCATCTCTATACAGGCAACTCCCCAAGCTGTGCCTCTGACTCTGACTCTGATGTCCTTCCTACACACCACACTACCTGCCTGATCACCTGCTGAACACCATCCATATATGCCTCAAATCCAGCATATCCTAAACTTGAGGTTTACCCAGGACTTAGTTTTAGCACTGAAAGTTCCATGTCCTCAGAATTCCCTCAACCCCGAGCAAACCAGGACAGTAAGTCACCACAACAAAAATGAACTCAACAGTGTCTGTTCCAAACCCAGTCTTCTTCATGAACTCCTGATTCCTCTCCATCATTTAGTAGCAGAGATATCCTCCTTCTGCATAAACCTCAACTCCTCTTTGCCTTCCATCTACTCATGCAACTGATTGCCAGATATTGTCAATTTTATCTCCAAAATATCTGCTTTACCATCACTTCCTTTCAACTTCCACTGCTCTAATTCAGGTCTTTATTACCTCTAACCTATACAATTACAGGAGACTCCTAATCAGTCCCCCTGCCTCCAGTCACTCTATCACCCTACTCCCATCCCTTTTGCCAATTCATCTTCCAAACTGCAAAGATTGATCGTTCTGAAGCACAAATGTGATCATCCATAGATAGTATTCTTCTAATCAATATTGAAGTTTTATAGAATGAACTCCGAGAACAGCATTAAACTCAGGCTCCCAGGCATTTGAGCATGATGACTACACAATATGACACTTAAGAAATGTTGTTATGAATGACTAAAATACACAGAGTATTAATATGAGCTCTAAGTGAAAGGGAAAATCAAAAGAAAACAAAAACCACCACCATACCCTTGAGAAGCCAGGAACTGAGTTTGTCGGTTCCAGTTTTGCATGTTTTCATCTCTTTGGAGAAGTATATGATAACCACAGTTAAGGAAAGTAAATATTGCCAGGGAATTCTGGGTGGTAGAGACTCATTAAAGCCTTGATATTCATATGAAACAGAATCATCTGGAAGTCATATTACGCAGAAACTAAACTTGAGAGAGAATTCACTTGTTCCCTCAGGGCGTTAGGTCTTAATTCATCTGTGGCCCTACTCCCTAATTACCTCTGCTGCGAGAGCCATAGGCTTTCCATCTCAGACTGGCAAGGAAAAAGAGAATTTACATGAATGATGTTTATATCAGTGACAGGAAATATGTATCCCACTTGAATAAGGGGTATGGCGCTCCCAATATAGATTATGAAAAATGAAAAACTGCCAGGTGAAGAAGGCAAGCGCTTTCCCTAGAGGAGAGACAGCTCATCCTTTCCTCTCTGAGGAAAACTTACCTATCCTCTGTCTTCTCTCATAGACTTGCAAGTGGTAAATTGTTTATGAAG